CCACTTATACTAAGGAAGCCAAAGTGAATCCTAAACAGTCTCCTAATTTTACGTACTTTCAGTTTAATGCAGGTAAAACAACTCCCTTTGAGTAGGCTCTGGGGGTGAACATGTGTTATTACTTAGCCTCCTTTTCTTAGGTCACACAACAACAGAGTTCAACTATACCAAAAACTGACCAGGGTTATTCTCTCTGCCTCTTCTGTATGTCACTAAAAGATGATTTAAAATGACATCTCTATTTTCTGTATTTAACAAACCTTCTCGAGATCTACTGCTGAATATAAGAAACTTGCAGTGTTTTAGTAAGGCAAATACTGCACTTGACTTCTTTCAATTTAATTGAACTCCCGCAGGATAAATTCACTTTTAAAAGAATAGCTCATGAATGACCTATTTCTTCTCAAATTATAATATAAATTTACTAAAAAAAAGTTATCAGTTTAAGCCATTTAAAATCAAAGTGACAGCAGAAATAGCCACCGCTTGTGAAAATTTGTGTGAGAAAAAGCTGCTTTTCATTTTAAAGTCCTAGTAACATAATTCTGATGCTGAAAAAGTTTCCAGAGCAATAATAACTAATTCATCCCAAACATTCAGGTTTTTTTTTTCCTTTATTGCAACAAATATCCCTTCTTGGTATCATAATATATAACTCCTAGTTTTCACTGAAAACACAAATTAGAAACCCTAAATTTTGAAAATTGCTTTTAAACTTGTTCTAATATTCAATTTTCCCTTGAAACCTTACGAGGATATTGTCACTTGCAGGTAAACAATAAAAGATAATAATAAAATGTTTTACTTGACACATGTTTTCTGGTTAAAAAAAAACACTATCTGTCCTCTCAAGAGGCTACCAAAGGAAATCTATTTTCCAAGAAAGTCTTAAAAATCACTTACCCATATACCAAATAAAGTTGGAGACTGTACTGGACTGCCACTTACAAGAGAGAATCACATTAATCTTCCACTAAATCTTCCCTTCTAGTTTCTCACAGAGCAGTGAAATACTGCAAGAGGACAATTCCTCATATGGACAGAAATCAGAAGAGACCTGAGTAGGATCCTGCTGCTGTCAGCATAAGCTCGCTTAATCAGTGGCTTCTGTTAGAATGGCAATGAATGTATACACAGAACCCATTTTGCTATTCAAGAACAATCATGTATGCCCCTTTTCAAAAGGTACTCATCCAAAATAGTTTCCCATTCATAAGAAACCAAGTCTGAAAATACTGCAAAAATGAAGGTGCCATGGGATAACAGTGAAAAATTACAAAAGCAGCCAATTCATTATTCAATCAAGAAATTTGGCACAATCATAAACTCTGTACCATCTACGTTAATGGAGCTTAATTCTCTGCTATCAGGTGAAATTCCAAACACCAAATTGGATAAGGATTAGAGCCAAAATGTGATAATTTCCTTAATTTTTCTGCCTGAGAACAGTGTTTTAAGAAATATAAACACTGCTCTTGATATAAGACTTGTGCATTCCGAATTCTAACTGTCTCTAGACAATACAAAACAATGTACAATTTTTTATCCATTTAAAAGGTAAACAATAATACCTCTCTGTGTATTATACTAGAAGTAAAATATGTAGGTTTCCTCAAATGGTGTGGTTTCTCCAAACAGAAATAATCATTCCTAGCAACTGTTTCATTCATAATATTATCAATCCAGACTTCTAAGTTAGTTTCAAGAAAGGCAAGCTTTCTAATCCACAGTATTTACATCTCTAGAAATTACACACCACTAGGTACAGAGAGCCATACTGTTATGATCATAGACTAGAAAGGAGCTTTCATTTTCATTTGCTTTATAATCACATACTGCCACATTTGATCAAACATTGCCTTTATTGATTCCATGATATGTATTCAACAGAGCTTGTATAATCAATTTAGAATTGACACTAGGTGACTACCCCCCCCCAAAATTTTAAGTAACTGAAAGGATTAGGGATTTATGTAAGGATGAAGGAAAATGACGTCTTGTACTTTTCAATAGCACCATTTTCTCTAATCGTTTCTATCACATTCAAATCAAATCATAACATAACAAAACTGCCTCAGACTATGTGAAATATTTATGCTTGAATCCAGCATTTCTACTCTGATGAAATGATAAAGTTATGGTTTTTGATCCAGTTGGACACCATTTTTCATGGGCAAAACATAAGACAATGTTACAGATGAAGTGTCTGCAATATGGAAAAGTAGATGGGGCAGTCAAAAAATGTAAAATATTTTAATATGCCTTTTTGGATAGGAAATAATCAAGTGTGATAAAGATAAGGGAAAAATAAAATGCTTAACAAATAAGATAAATTACAATATGAAGTAAAGACACCTGAATAATAAGTTGGTCATTTAAAAATATGAAATTACCGAGAAATATGAGCTATTTAAGAAAATATTTTATGTTTTAGTTGCTGAATTTCTGATTATTTTCTTAAAAAAAATAGCAAGAAAATCCCCCCCCTCCCTCTTCAGTGTATTAGCTCATGAACAAACTACAGGCTCTGTAAAGCCTTCCTAATACACAGCTCACCTTAAATTTGAATATACTTATAATTTTCTTCAATGTTGGAGACCCAAAGTTTTTAGAAATAACTATCGGAACACATCCAAATTTTACCGCTCAATGCTCAGATTTTATTTTATTATATATAAAAAAGGTATTTAGTTCTAAAACTTATCTTCACTCCTCAAAGTCCTAATGAATTAGAAGCTCTTATATGAAGATTTTAACTGTAATTTTTGCCAATAATATCAACAAAGTAATCCACCATTAGTCCCAAGAAAGTTCATTCCAGAATCCATCTTTCTTTCTGAAGCCTCTTCCTACCCCAGAATTAAGACATTCAAGATTAACGGGCCTGTTTTAAATCTAGCAATTTAACAGACACATAACTGAAGCTACTTTAAAAATTGCAAAATATACCTTTGTCAACTATTTAAATCAGGCAATCGAAGAGCCCCTCTTTCTGAACTGAGACACTGTTGTGGCCAGTGTGTGGCAGAACAGGCAAAGCCATAAACCACAACACCAGCATCCCATGTGATGCCTGTTCAACTCCAGGCTACACCACTTGTATTCAGCTCCCCGCTAATACACCTGGAAAAGCAATAGAGGATGACTCAAGACCTGAGTTCCCGGTAACTATGTACAGGAAGACTCGATGAAGTTCCTGGCTCCCAGTTTCTCACAGCTACATGAGGAGTGAACCAGGGCATGTAAGTTCTCTATCTCCTCCCACCTCTCTGTAATTCTGCCTTTCAAATAAATCTCTCCTATGAAAAAGAGAGAGAAAGGAAGAAAAGAAAAAGAAAGACTGTCAGACCATCTCAGAAAAAAAGTTGAGTACCTAAAATAAAGAGCACTGGGACTGTTATATATTTATGGGCACCAAATATTTTTGTCTCAATTTAGATTTCTGTGAGACACTGATATTAGCTGTCTTGGGTTGGTGTTGTGGCACACCAAGCCACAAATTGTGACATGGAGATATCGTGTGGGCATCAGTTTGAGTTCTGCCTACTCCATTTCCAATCTAGCTACCTGCTAAATAATCATTTAAAAAAATCTAGTTGTCTCAAATGCTGGAAAGACTTCTTGCCATTTTCCACTGGAGCCATCCAAAATGAGTAAGAGTGGCTTGCTAGGTATTTTGCCTTTGTCTCATCAGAATGTCCTTCCTTTCAGCTTTGGGGACTGGGAAAACCAAACTAAATGGCTCATAGCAAATAACTCCCTCCCATATGAGCCTATTCAGATGTAACTGATGGGAAGGATTAAAGAATTCCAGTAGTTTCAGGAAAACAAGAAGAAGGGGGCTAGACTTTATTCCCTTGATTTCCTTCCTGCTAAGAAATAATGAAATAAGATTTGTTCATAAACCACTGTAGCGTAAACAATGAACCAAATGTCTAAAGCAAAGCAGGACTTTCCCCAATGATATACAGAAGTAAACACTTCAGTAAAACTACTTGACATTATCTAGTATTAAAAAAACTGATCAAATTTTTAAAAAGGAGTTTCAAGAAAATGAAATTCATTTTTAAAAGATTACAGCTAAACACATTGTAAATGCTATACAATATTATACTACTTAAATTATTTAAACCAAAGTGGATCCTAGGAGAACATTCTATGAATTGATAAAGTTGATGACCCAAAATTTAACTTCTAAATTTTGGGATCAGTGCTATCTAGCTATTATTTTTAATTATAAAATATCTTAAGAGCAGGAATGTAAGGAGTTATTTGAATATCCCACCCTGGGCCCGGCGCCATTTCTTCTTCCTCACAGCTCACAAATTCATGCCAGTCCAGCCATCCACCAATCAGATGTAACCTGGCATTCCACCTGAGAATTCCACCCCCAATCCTCCAGCCCCTTCCCCAATCCTGCCCCCTTACCAATCATCCTTAGGTATTCACCTGCAGTTGTCAATCCCCTGGGGCCTTGACCTCAATCCCTCCCAATCCCCACCCCCCACACCTGGCAGACAAAAAGGCCCCCAGGTGCGGCTCTCTCTTCTTTGCTCTCTCTCTCTCTCTCTCTCTCCTGGCCTCCCTTCCTCGCTTCCCCTTCCCCTGTTCCTGCCCTGCTGGAATAAACCTCCTAAGATGCCTAAAAAAAAAAAAAAAACTTAAGATAAAATATCACTTTAATGAGTCACAAACATACCTTACCTTAAAAAGTCACATAATACTCAATAAGGGCAGATTGTCACAAGCCATCAATCCATCTGACCTTGGCTTAAACTTATATAGCTGTGTTTAAACCAAGAATTAAGTCTAAAAGAAATTACTGATTGAAACAGGAACTCATAGGAATAGTTTTATAACACTTCTTTTTCATATAGAACTGGGTAAAAAAAAAACCTCACAACTATAACACAACGAAATATGAACATTATTTATTTATAATATATCACAATTACGTAGACTATTAAATATAATATGTATATGTATAATTTCATTTTTACCTGTTTTGCAATTTCTCTTAAACAGGCCACTCCTTGTTCAAAATTAGGGAAAGCTACTGAACCATACTTTTGGTATTCCGGAACTGGTCTGATTTTTATTGTGGCTTCTGTTATTACACCAAGAGTTCCTGAAAAACAAAAGGGGGGAGAATAATCTAATACATGACAATTTTAACAATCATATTTAAATCCATTTAATCTCTTTATTAATTCACTCTATTACTCAATTTAATCTATTTGGAAAATAATGCCTACTCAAGTCTTTTGAGGAAAACGATCATATTTTATAATTTCAAACAAACAAAAATATCTTTGGGAGGCCAGCATTGTAGCATTGCATATAATGCCACTACCTATGATGCTCTAACATCCCATATAAGTACCAGTTCAAGTCTGGCTGCTCTGTTTCTAATCCAGCTCCCTGCTGATGTGCCTGGGAGAACAGCAGTGGAGGTTCCAGGGCCATGGGAATTTCCTGGCTCCTGGCTTTGGTTATGGCCCAGCCCCAGTGCTATGGCCATTTGGGGAATGAACCAGCAGACAAAAGATCTCTTTTTCTCTCCTTTCCTTAACTCTGTCTTTTAAATACATAAACTTATTTATAACTTTAAAAAGATTTAGTGTATGTTTTCATCAGATTTATATAAATATTTTAAAATATTTTAAAGTAACCTTTTTCAAAGATTTCTAGTCTTTATAAAATTATAGCTTATTAAAAGAAAAAAAACTTTTGTTACATCTCATATGTTTAGACAAAACTATTTTTACATTTGTGCCTATTTTTGACTACAAAAATTACTTACTAAGCTGAAACATGAACACAGACTTCTCAAAACAAAAATTTCAAATGATCAACAAATTTACCAAAAAAAAAAAAGAAAGAAAAAAAAAGAAAAAGCATTTAACATTTAACATCATTATCCTCAGGGAAATCAAAATCAAATCACAATAAGTATCATCTCATTCCAACTAGAATGGCTGTGATCAATAGCCATTGCTGTAGAATGGCATATTAAATGTAGACACCCCACACTGGGGTCCAAACTTAGCTCCTGGCTTTTCTGCTTCTGATCCAGGTTTCAGCTAATACACTTGGTAAGGCAATAGAAATTGGTTCAAATTACTTGGGATCCTGCTTTCGTCATGGGAAGCCAGAATGGAGTTCCTGGTTCCTGCCTTCAGCTGACTTACCAGCAGAAACAATGGAAGCAGAAGCATAGCATAACATATTCAAAGTACTCATGGGAAAAGATTTGCTAACTAAGAATCTTCCATCTAACTAAGATATTTCAAAAATCAAATCAAAATGAAGACATTACCAGATAAGCATAACTGGAGATACTTTGTTGCTGAGAGACCAGGTTTACACTTAGTACCAAAGGAAGCTCTAATAATTATTTACTTAATAATCAGATTAGAGAAAGAGGGGGGGAGACACAGAAAAAGAAAGAAATCATTCAGGTTCACTCTCCAGATAGCAGCACTGGCCAGTACTGAATCATAGTGGAGCCAGAAGCCAGGAGTCAAGAGCTCCATCAAGGTCTCCTACATGGGTAGTGCAGGCCAAGCACTTAGGCCATCTTTCACTGCTTTCACCAGGACACGAGCAAGGAATTGGATTGGAACAGAAGCAGTTAGAACATGAAAAAGTGCCCAAATATGATGATGGTATCACAGGAGGCACCCATTATGTCACACATAAGCCTCAAAACGAATTTTTTGAAATGGAAAGCAGATAACTCTTTGCCCCAGATAATAACTCAAATTAACACACACACACTGCCAGTAAAATAAACTGTGTAGGCCTGGTGTGATAGCCTTGCCTTGCATATGCCAGGATCCCTAATGAATAACATTTCTATACTGGCTGTTCCACTTCCCATTCAGCTCCCCACTAGTGACATGGGAAAGCAGTAGAGGACAGTCCAACGCCTGAGACCCTGCATCAGTGTGGGAAATCCAGAGGAAGCTCCTGGCTCCTGGCTTTGGATTGGCTCAGCTCTGGCCACTGTGGCCACTTGGGGAGAGAACCAGCGGACAGAAGATCTTTCTCTGTATCTCTCCTTCTCTCTGTAAATAAGAATATGTAAAACTTTTTTTAAAAATAGAAATTATATAACTGCAAAAAATAGCATAATGTGTATTTCCTCTTCTCATACTTAACAAAAATATAAAGCTATATATATATATACACATACTCGTATTTTTTTAAAATTACCGATCAATTACAGCACAAGGGCGGTTGACAAAAACAATAAAAAAGAAAAACAAAACAAAACAAAAAAACAGAAAAAAAACCAAGGGCAGTTAACAGCAAACCTCCAATGGGCTGAATGTGATTCCAGACAGCAATCTGATTCAACAAGAACAAATCAATAAAACCATAAATTGTCAATAAAATGATTCATAACAAAGTTTAATTATTCTGTTTCATTTCTTCAGTCGAATTCTTAAAAAGACATACAATCTTACACAAAGTAGTAACTGCAGCAGTATATTGTTCGGTTTGTGACTTCTGTATAAGTAATACATATAATACCATAAAAACAGGGGGAAAGGAATGAAACTACAAAAGAGAAACATGTATGCAGTTCACAGGAATTGTAGTACTACAGATCTGAAACTGCTTCTGAAAAACAGAAAGGGAAATGCCCTGGACCATTATGCATTAAAAAAGAAAAAAATCAATAGGAAAACAAAGCTACACAGCACCTGCAATGTCAGTATTGTTAGGAAGCAAAAAGCACCGTCACCTTCTAATTACCTCTAACTAGAAATAAAAAGAGGAAAAACAATCCAACACACCCCCTGCAGTCTTCCACCTGTGACAAGCTCGTCTATGTCAGAAGTGAGTAAGCAAAGGTTTAAAAGACTATATCAGAAAACAGTGAGTAACTGAGGACTTGGGACTGGAACTGATAGACAACTGGGAGTGAGTAAGCAAAGCATCAGAGTAACAGTGGTGGGGCATTTTCAAGAGATTTAAGGAAAGGAAGTGTCACCCAAAGATATATCCACTCAAACTGTCCTTTAAGTAATAAAGCCTTAAGAAAATAAAAGTAAATAGTTTTTTAAAACTCAGAGAATATTCAAAAGTCAACTTATTTTTTTTTTAACCAAAGCATGATTAGTGAAACTTGAAGAAAGCACTGATTCTAAGTATCCCATTTACTTAATGACAACAGTAAAGTCAAACACAAGAAATCATGGTCATTTTAAAAAGTGTACTTATAACTTTCTCAAATAAAAAAATCAGTAAACTACATATACAGAATTTCAAATGCTTCAAATACTATAATTTTCATCACACCGAACACGCTTTGGCATTTAAATGATAGAAGCTGAAAAGTAGGTGAAAGACTGTAGGCTGTAATGATCAATAATGCTGAGTAACAGCTACAGCAATAATAATAAAATTAACATTTGCTGAGTACTTATCATATACCCATGAACTACTTAGTATAATCTCACTGAATCTTCACAATAAACTTAAGCAGAATGATACTTGCATTTTAGGGTCGAGGACATTGGGCATACAGAATTTCCTCACTTACAGAAAGTCACAGAAATATAAGTGGCAGAATCAGAATAGAGTCCAGATCTGACAGACTTCATGGTTCATAATGTGCCATTTTACATCTAATTATGTAGCAACTTATTACATTATGTGTATTTCTTACAAATCATACTTTTGGGCTTTGTAAAGAGTATCTTCCTCAGACCATCCAATAATTGACTGTGGACAGAGATAATCAGTCTTTAAGATAAAGGCAGCTAAGATCAAATTATCTCCTCTATCACTCTGCCCCTAGACTGTCCCATTGCACAAACTTTAATTTGTTTAACTGAAAAACTGGCAACTACACGAGACACTCAAGACCTTCTCTTGTTTCTAAGCCTACATTACTGCTGTTTACTCTGCAGGACAAGTCCCCGCACTCTTCCATATACTTGACCTAGAATTATTTTCTCCTTATTAACTTTCACAGACCACCTTAGGCATGAGCTCTTAAGGAAAACCTTTTCCATACTTTTCCTGCATTTACTTCAATCAGAGAAGTTATCATACTACAGTATAATAGTCTACTGCTATTTGTGTCTATAAGTGTACTAGCACAATGCATAGCAATCAGAATTTTTAAAATATTGATGGAAAGTTTTTAAAAAGTTGTATGTAGTTCCTTCAAAAGATAATTGAGACTTATGAGAGTAGCATGAGTTCCAGAGCAGCCGTTTAGTCTAACAGCTCCAGATCTTGACTCCAGCTTTAAGCTGATGTAAATCCTGGGAAATAGCAGTCAGGCCTAAGTAATTAGGCTCCTGCTATTCATGAAGGAAACATGAAGTGAGTTCCCAGCTCACAGTTATCAGCCTAATCCAGTCACCGTGGACATTAAAGGGATCAATTAATGGATGGGTACATACATGTGTGCTCTCTCGAATAAACTGTTTTTTATAGTTTGAATTGAGGGGCAAACATTCGCTGCAGTAGTCAATACACCACTTTGGGTATTTGCATTCCATACCAAAGTGACTTGGTTCAAGTCCTGACTCTACCCTCAATTCCAGCTTCCTAGCAATGTGTGTAACCTAGTAACGTCTGTCACCTTGGAGGCACCAGGTAATTGCTCAATGGTAAGTCCCATACATGTGGAAGACTGACTTTTTCCACTTCACTTTTACTAAGAGAATTTTTTGGGGCCAGCGTTCAAGTCCAGTAACTCCATTTCCTATCCAGCTCCTTCAGAATGTGCCCAGAAAGCAGCAGAAAATAGTGCAAGTGCTTGGGCCTCTGCACCCACCTGAAAACCTGGAAGAAAAACCTGATTCCTAGCTTTGGTCTGGTCCAATGTTAGCCAATGCAGCCATCTAGGGAATGAACCAGTGCATGGAAGACATCTCTCTTCTCTCTGTTTGTCTCTCTCTCTCTCTCTCTGATTTTCAGATAAATCAAATAAACCTAAGAAATAAAAGTGGAGGACCCCCCACTCCCCAAGACAAAATGGTCTACATTTCAAACGGACAAGTGTTAGACAGCCAGAGTCAGTCCCCAGGATTATCTCTGAGAACAGATTTCTTCTGGGGAATAGCAGAGTGTGTGGCTTTGTTTTTCAAAACTTTGCTTCAGCAAAATGTTGAAAGAGGTGGCTACGGAAGCTCGTTCGACTCCAGATATGATGATGGAAGAGGGCCGCCAGAAAACCCTCCAGGAAGAATGGGCCGAATCAATCATCTGCACGGTTCCAGTCTCCCCGCACCCCAAGAATGGTGGATCAGCGGTAAACATCTGCTCTAACAAGCAGACGACTGGGTGTGTGGATGTGCACATCCGCGGCAGAAAGGAGACCATCTGGAGACAGAGCTGGCCAAGCCGGCTGCCTGGATGGATGCGTGCACCCCACCAGAACCACCCTGTGACCTCACAGACGAATGACATCAGGCTGGGAACTCCCCCTGCAGGGATCTGGCCTGGCTGAGCTGCAGTTCCATAAACTCTGATGTCTGTCTCATTTTTCTGTATAGTTTATTAAAGTCTTAATATAGTTTTTTAAAAAGATTTATTTATTTTTATTACAAAGTCAGATATCAAAGAGGAGGAGAGAGAGAGGAAGATTTTCCGTCTGATGATTCACTCCCCAAGTGTGTGCAACGGCTGGTACTGCGCCGATCCGGACCAGGAGCCAGGAGCCAGAAACCAGGAACCAGGATCCAGGAACCTCCTCCAGGTCTCCCACATGGGTGCAGGGTCCCAAAGCTTTGGGCCATCCTCAACTGCTTTCCCAGGCAACAAGCAGGGAGCTGGATGGGACGTGGAGCTGCCGGAATTAGAATCAGCGCCCATATGGGATCCCGGGGCGTTCAAGGCGAGGGCTTTAGCCACTAGGCCACGGTGCCGGGCCCCTTAATTACAGTTTTAATGAGTGAATATTTTAGGTTGTAAGACTGACTCCTCCTTTTTATATATTTAAAACACACACGCACACACACCCCACCACCACCACCTCAGAACCTGAAGAAGAGAAAAGGCTGAGTCCTAGTGCTGTCAGTGACCCGTTTTTGGATGTCTGAAACACTGCTCACTGCTAAGTTATTCCCATTTGTAAATAAATTGCATTTATTCAGTAGTGAAAAAAAAAAAAAAGAAATAAAAAGCATTCTTCCATTTTTTTTTTCTCCTTAAGAGAATGCTGATGAGAAAAAGAATAAACTGAGTAAACTGGTGACAGGGTGTGACAAACCTCCATCACTGGTTATCATTTGCCAACAATATTTTTATTATTACATCTTTTGATGTAAGCTAAAACCACAGGTCTTCAGCCCAACAGCTCACCTCTGTCACATCACTGAGGTGCACAGTTTACTTTCTGCCTACTTCTTTCTGCCAAGATTCAGAATTTATCCCCTAAAATCTAAACTTATTATTGAATGTAGCCTGTTTTCAAATGTATCTTTTTCAGCTTGGAGCACATTCTAACATAAGTAATGAGTAGTTCTGCTAACTTAGAAACAACTTCTTGTTTTAAATTACTTTATTTCACTCAATGTAAGGAATATCCCGAATATCCCTCCCATCCAAAGAACTGAAAGGAGCAAGTGATCACCTTGTCCTGCAATTCACCTTGCTTACAGAACAGTTATTTTGCTAAAACAGAAGGGGCAAAGTTAATTTTCATCTGATCTGTGAGGAATTTACATGTTTAGGGTGACAAGAAGAACTACATTCTACTCAGTCTAGTACTAGCCAAAAACAGAATACTATGTGCATAAAAAAGATCATAAAAACTAAAGTTTAAAAGAAGACTATCACATCCAGTGGCATTTGCTTAACTTTATGGCATTATAAATTTGCTTTTCTTCCTGTTGTTGATTTTGTTTTGCGGCTTTTCACTTGGGGGGATTTACAGTGACTGGGTAGTGGAGACTGACATGTCCAGATGTGAGGATTCGGTGCAGTGTGCATCTCTACTTGTGGATTGAGGATGGAGTCCCAGTGAAACTGTTGGATGTGTGTTGACAATGGGATATTGGACTCTCTGCCATTGTCCATGCCCACAATGATGGATTTATGACTGTTTATGAGGAACTATGCTGTTGTAATGATATGGGAGAACTCAGAGAGTGCAGGGGATTTGAGGAGGGGGCAGGGGAAATCCCAGGGCCTATGGAACTTTATTATAAAATGATAATAATGTTAAAAAAAAAAAAAGGAAAAAGGATGTGTGAATCAGTGGAATTTTAAATTCTACTTCTAAAAATTTAAACAACAAATGTAACTATAGAAAAAAATAAATACTTCATTTAGTCCTTTGACCTTTATTCAGTCCTTTATGGAAATAAGGAATACAAATTGCCAAATAAACCACTTCAAGCCCTAACAACTACCTTTTAAAAAATGCAATGAAAACACTCCTAGCAGAAAAAATTCTGAAGACCAAGTTTTCCACTGAAATATTGAAAACCAAAAGAGGAAGTTTAATAAGATGTTCTCATAATAAAAATTTTATGAAGCACTAAATTAAAATTAACTCTTTTAAAATTCGCCATTCCTTTAATATATAAAACATGTTTTTCTTTCAAAGATCTGATGCAACAGTATCATAGATTTTCACAAAAGTAAGTCATGGAGCTGTATTTTTTTCATAATAAATTTGGCGTTGTATTTACCTTCAGATCCCATGATGAAGTGATGGATGTCAGGGCCTGTTGACATACGAGGTCCTTGACAGCTTTTTTCTATTGTACCTCTAGGTGTTACCATTTTTATATGAACCACCTGTTAAATACAATGCACGATATAAATTCTAGACATCTGTCAGTGAGTTTGTGTGTGTCTTTGTACACACACATATTCATAAAACACTACTTTTAAAATATTGGGTTAAGCATTAAATTGTGATGCCCTTCTGAATCATACTTTTTACCAATCTCAGACTTAAAGTAAATTTGTACACAACCTGAAAAAAAGAAAAATCATTCCAAGTTTGTACATCTCTTGATTTTAACTACTTTAGATACCTTAATAACCTAAGGAATGGAAAAATATATACCTTTAAACCAAATTTAGTCTAGGGTTATTCATATGGCAAGAACTAAAGGACTAAAAAAATAAGCAAAAATCACATATCAGATCTGTGAAACAAGATGGACAAAGCCTAAACATTAGTGACCTGAACAGAAATCCTTAAATAACAACTTCATTTTTATCTTTTAGTGCCTCTTTTATATTTGATTATCTTACTTTAATCAAAGGGGTATACTTTTAAACAGGTCTACCATCCAATTCTCAATTTTTTTCCAATTCTCAATGTGTAAAAGCTTTTAAATCATACATACTATAACAATGTCTGTACATTAATCAGTTGTTACAACTAGAAAGCAATTTACCAGGTCCTCAATATTGCCATATATATTCTTCTTCATGCCAGAAGCCCGAGTTGAAATCCATCCTCCCACAGTGCTGAATTCCAAGGAGTCTGGTTCATGACCTGTACAATAACCACTTTCCTTAAGCTAAAACACAAAAATGCAACATTTTACTAGAGAAAATGGTCCCTTTACAAACAGCACTCAACTCATTAACTCTTCCCACCTTAAATTTCCACTTTACTATTTATATTCATTAAAATCTGTATAAAAAAAGAAACAATTCAGCTTTGCCTATAGCCAGCTGTCCCTTCCCAGCTTTTTTATCCCCAACAATTAAAACTCTTGAGAAGATCAGATTTTGCTTAAATAACTGCCAATTTCACCTAAACACTTTCAATAAATAAAGTGTTTAATCTCTTGTTCTCCCCACCTTAGTTTAATATGCAGCAGGCCTGCAGAAACTCTGAGCAAATTGCCTGTACTTAATTCTCTCAAGGAGTCATGTGTTTTAATGTACAGCCATCTGGCTAGGTTTCCTGCATATAATACCGTCATTTATTTGTGATGCAGATCATGCATTCCTGTACATTAAATAGTCACTTGTCTCTCATTTTTCTACATTAGCTTGGCTTTGCCATCTGCACAGCACCTGAGGTTGAATGGATGCCCTTTATTGCAACAACACCAAAGCCATCTCACTGAAATCATTTTAAAGACCCAGCCATTTCCTGTCAAATGGTACAGACGCCACCATCTGCATACCTACTGTCTACTGTACTCAAGCCCATCAATCTGTGTTGACCATTTTGATAGTCATCCAGTAAAGCAACTATTTGTATTTTTCAAGCAAGCCATGCAGAGGTGCTGAATATGTCAGCTATGCTTGTATCTGTGTATTTAAGTGTGGTTAATATAGTCTGTTAGGTGAAACATAATTTGCTAATTTTTCAACATTATCATTGCAAGATATTTGTCTCAAATTTTACTGCTAGGAAAACAGGATTTGAAAAGATATTCACAGGACATGAGGTTTTTTTCCTCTCTAATATTTAATTTTAAGAATTTAATACCCGATCACAAATAAGCATGGCTAACCAGGCTAAGATTATTAGATTATATTTCTTCCCTAAGACCATCCCCAAACAATCCATATTACATGTCAACTGTGTGAAGCAATGAAAATAATAACACCAAAGACAGTCCTATGCTGAAGGAGCTCTACCAAGTTCACTAATACAAATCTGCTTCCTTGTTAAAAATATAACTTCCTAGTAGCTAAAGGATGCAAAATTTGCATATTACAAAATACATACAGAACTATCAAATTGAGTAAAAATCCAACTGAGGTTGGATTGTAACACAATCTAAAAATTGGACAAATTTTATGTATTTTACTAATTTACTTCACCTTAACAAAAAACTTAAGTAGAAAATATTATTACCATTTTATAAATGAAGAAACTGAGGCATACGGGTTAGTAACTTGCCCAAGGTGACATAGCTAGGAGGTATATTTGAGTTTAATAACAAGATTTAATTAGCTATCAGAAGGAAGTAAAGACAATGTGATAATGTTAATCCTTTATCCACTTACAGAAAAAAATCATTAGAGTCACACATCCCCAGACCACTAATAAAGTAGCAAAGATTAAATAAACTTGGAAAAAAATCTGTCTGAATCAATTAACTGACACTTGTGGCTTCCTTTAAATTTTATACACAATAATATCAATGCAATTTACAAGTTAAATAGATTTAAATCCACTACTGATTTACTGTGTTCCTGTCATTTTAAAACTTATAGGAGAGAAAAATAGGACATTTTAATGTGGTTACCTCAGCCAAAGCAGAACCTGAAGGACACAGAGGTTTAATGAGGAAGAACTTAGGATAAAAATAGCATTATAGTTACTGAAAGCAAAAAAGAAAGTCCTTATTGGCACTTAGGGAAACAAACAAGGAGGTAAAATACAAGAATTTTCTAGTCTAGGAAAACAGCATTCAGATTTCAAAGAATTATGTCTCTGAATTTTAATTCTAACCTTTAAAAATGTTTTAGAAGGTTAAGATAATACATCAAATCCTATAATAAAAGATATAAAATTACAGACATAAAAGTCATTATTTGTTACTTTAAAAAAATGTTCAACTGCCTAGGTTGCCATGTACCTAGGCAAGTGTTACACTGCTGGGAGAATAACAGCCAATACTTGGCAAGCATTCTCAGCCTGGTTAAACGCCAAATTTGTGTTAACTATACCAGTGTGCCAGCATAGTTGCGTATTATATTTCTTTTTTTTTTTTTAAACAATTGTGGGAAGGCAAGGACCATGGGCCGGGCCATACCATCCCAGGTGTTGGGGAGCTGCAGATTGCCCTGGCAAAGGGGTTTGCGGATGCTTTGGAGGAGAAGAGGCTGAGGGCACATTTGACAGGAGAATGATTTCTGGGAGCCTCCAAGACCTGGACACTGCACTTACAAGTAGGCAATGAATCTGAGATGGAGTGGTTTAGAGGAGGGAAACCAAAGTGCACGTCTGGGTCAGGCCAGGGCCCTGCTCACGTGGGAGACCTGGGCTGGGAGAAGTAGCATCACCTTTTACCCACTGGTAAACATGAAAGCTGGGATTAGGGGACATTCCTGATTAGTCTAGGCTGCAGTACCTGCCAGCGAATGTCTGAGAAGAGGAGTTGACACTCAATAGAATGTGAGAAAAACCAGATCTGAGGGCAGATTCTGTAGGGGACTTGTGGGCTCACTTCTGTGAGACTGCAACACCTGCTGATTCGCACGAGAGCTAGAGTGGCAACAGGCTGAACCAAGGTGGACCACAGAACTCACCTGACACTCATGGGAGCCAGGGCTGGGAGAGAGCCAGCTGGGCCAGTCCACAGCACACACTGGCATAAACAAGAGCCAAGATGGGGTGTAAGCCAGGCCAGGCTGGATAACACCTGCCGCTTCACATGGTGGGTCGGGGGCGGGGGGCAGGGTGAGGTTTGCTGAGGGGAGCTGGCTGGATTAGGCTGCTGCACCTGCAAGTAAGAGCTGGGTGAGGTGCGGGCTATTTGCACTAAGCCTTAGTACCCACTGGCAAGTGGACCACAGTACCCCCCTGGAAAGTACAAGATTCAAGAGTGGGCCTAATAGGGCAACTGTGGGCATTCTTCTGCTAGGTGTAGCTCTCGCTGGTGAGCACAAGAGCCAGGGCTGGTGGTGGGCTGGACTTGGCAAGGCAGCAGCTCCCATCAGTGTGCTCCCATTGGTATGTGCATTGGCTGGTGCAGGTATTGCACCAAACCCAACCCTGCACTGGCCGATGCACACAAGAATCAACTCTGAAGTCACCCCAGGAGAGGTTTATTGGGGAATTCCCTAACTGCACCATTGGACTCTGACTCCCAGGGGAAAAATTCACAGAATCCATGGTCCAAGCTTAGAGTGCATGTCGGGACTGGGCCCTCCTCAGTTGCTGATGCCCGTGCAGTCGACAATACGCTCAGATGTGCACAAAAGACATGACAGCCAGATCATCTAGCCCAGCAGGGACATCAAGTGCCTTGACAGAGGATGGAAAATACAGTTTAGACAACGTTCCTGGCCAAGCTTTTGCACCAAGTGTCAGAGTCTGTGGCTGCACTAAGGTAGATTTTTCAGCCAACAGACCTTGGAAAGATTTTCTCAACTACAGTGTATCGAAGCTGATAATGTCTCAGAACTTTCAAGACCACTCCAGTAACATACTTGGAATAGTCTTTACTACATTGGGGGTGTCATCAAATACCTGTCCACCAACCCCAGGTGCTGATGTAGTTTGACAGTAAGAAGTGGCCCTTTCCCTTCCCTCCTGCAGACACAGGGGAAAAAAATGGAAACATTTGTCTCATCCTCCATCCTTTATAGCTGGAACCTCTCTACCCAAATCAGAGATCCACATGGGCATGCATCCCTCTGAACTATGTAAACAATATTAAAAGCAAAATAATTTTTAAAAAATGCTATGGTGATAATTTAATGTACGATTCAGGCAAATGAGAGACTAATACATGACTTTTTCATTAAATACTATTATTCAGTCTTCTGAAGTTCAGTAATTTAAAACTCCTTATTTTGATTTTTAAAATATACTGACTGACTGCAAGTATTTAATACTACCTTAAGTAAATTCTTCTTTATCCGTTTTTTTTTTTTTTTTGCATGTTTCTGCATTAAGTAGCAAATAAACACAATATAAATCAATTTGTTTCAACATGTTTCATTTCCCTCCTGGTTGGGAACAGACCAAATTCAATCAATTTTTCAAGAAAGAAAAGGATCCTCAGAAGGTGCTAAACATACTACAAGAATTCCAGTAATTCAGGAGATAAGCACCTGTTAACAAAAATGCACTTTGAAAAGTGTAACAAATACTAAATACAGGTGCCAGTGTCTACTTGGCTGACGGAATTTATCAAGATGTGAAATGTGGATGCTCAATTTGTTCTGCTCTGCTGCTAGTACCTCATTTTAGGACACAATCAGATTTTGCTGATACTTTTGCATCAGGTTTCAACCAGCCTAACATGCCCCATCCATCCTTCACACAGTAGCCAAAGCTATCTAAAGACAAAAGAAATGTTTATCTTCTACAAGGCTCTTTACAAGGCCCTTTTATGATGTGACTACTTTATTTTCCTGTTTCATCTTTTACTACTGTCATACACACTCCAACCCAAAATATAAAACAAGAAAAGTATGTTTTCCCATCGCACTCTTCAATCATACTTAGATATCTGCAGTCTCCAAAGGCAACAGCCAATTTAAAACCTCTGCATAGTCCTTCCCCTGACCAGATCTTTCTTCCCACCTCATCTCATATTTGTAGTAATTATGACCCATCCTGAAGTCTCATTTTAAATGTCACTTCCTCTGTGATAATCTTCCTCATCCAATTCCTTTCCACCTAGCCACATTTCATGTTTCCTTTAGTCTCCAGATGGCATTTCTAACTCTAAGTTACCAATTTTCTAACATTCATCTAACTTTTTTGCCCTAATAGAAGTTCTGTGAAGCTAGGGAGCAATGCATTCATCTCTACTGTGTCCTTAGCATTCAGCTCAACACCTGATTCATAATAGAAACTCAACAGATTTGTTAGGTGTATAACTGTATTGTGAAAGGTGCTTCATCCAAAAAAGGGTACAGCCATTTGAAAATCTTAATTAAGGAAATAACATACCTGTCTTTCCAACTCTTGTCCTGTAATACCAGCCTCTACATGAGCTGTCAGATTGTTCTCATCAACCCAGAGGATTCGATTCTGTTGCAAAGGAAGAAAGAAATTTGATCTCCATCAGCTGCTGACATTTTTTTGGAAATACAACTACTTATTCAAAGCAACAGTGACAAGACAGTAATTAAATGAGTAGGATACTCTCCAACCACAAGCCACATTGGAAGCCAGTTCCACTGAATGTCTTGCTCCACAACATGACAAAGATAGTAATAAGGAAGTTATGTTACACAGAGTCTGTCTCTATTTAGATTTAATCTGAATGAAATTCCATCTTATAACAACTTATTTACTTGCCAAAGATGACTATTTCCCTCATTTGTATACATATAATGTTTCTCTAAGAGTTAAATGAGGGACTGAACATAAGAAACTTACCACATATAGAACCTGGCATTTTGTAAGCACTAACAAATTGAATTAAAGAATATGAGAAAATGGCCATAAAATTAGAAAATGGGAAAAAAAAAAAACCCTAAAAAGACACCTGAATAAGTGTACCCCCTCATCTGTTCAACTTGATATAGAATAGCAAGCCCAATGGAGAAAACAAAAAGTACATCTAACTCATGCTCCAATGGAAATGATAAAACTTTTGGAACTCAACTAAATTGACCAAATGTATTAATGACAACTAAAAAATTTTTTTGATTTAACCATTAGAAACTTTTAAAAACATACATATATATATATATCTTTTTTTTTTAGTTTTTTTTTAAGATTTATTTATTTTTATTGGAAAGGCAGATATACAGAGAGAAGGATACACAGACAGGAAGATCATCTGCTGTTTCACTCCCCAAGTGGCCTCAGCATCTGCAGCTAAACCAATCTGAAACCAGGAGCCAGCATCCTCTCCCATTTGAATACAGAGTTCCAAGGCTTTGGGCCATCCTCCGCTGCTCTCCCAATAGACCACAAGGCAGGGGACTGGATGGAAGTAGAGCAGCCAGGATACAAACTATAAAATGAGAATTTAACCACTAGGCTATCACACCAGACCCTGGTTTTTTTTTCAAAGGCAGACTTAAAAAGACAGGGCAGGGAGAGAGAGAGAGAAAAAAAAAAAAAGATCCTCTAAGCAATAGTTCATCCCCCAAATAGCCACAACAGCCAGAAATGAGCCAATCCGAAACAAAGAACCTCTTCCAGCTCTCTCTTCTGGCTGCAGGCACTGAGGACTTGGGCCGCCCTCTTTTGCTTTCCCAGGCTTATTAGCAGGCAGCTTGATTATAAGTGGAGCAGCCAAAACTTGAGCCAACACCCATAAGGGATGCGCATGCCACGAAGAAATCCAACAAAAACCACAGTGAAGTACTGCTTCATCCCGGTTAAAATGGCTACCACCAAAATAAATAAATAAATAAATATTGCTAAACATATGGAGAAAAAGATACCCTAATATACAGTTGGTTAGAATGTAATCTGGTGCAACCACTGTGGAAGACAATATGAGGACTCCTCAGAAATCTGAAAAAAAAATCTAGCATATGGCCCAGCCATCCAATTCCTGGGTATATACACAAAGGAAATGAAATCAACATATAAGAGATACCTGTACCCTCATGTTTACATCAGCTCTATTCACAATACCAAGATTAAGAATCAACCTAGATGTCCATCAACAAATAACTGGATGAAGAAAATGTGATAAATATACACAATGAAATGCTGCTCAGCCACAAAAAAAAAAGTTTGAATTTCTGCGTTTTGCAACAGAATGGATGCAAATGGAAATCATCATTATTATTGAAATAAGTCAGACAATTTCACTGATTTGTGACAGTAGATAGCATACAAAAGACTCATTTCTCTTCACAGTCCTGGTCTATATTTTACAGATCCGTGGTCCTGCTAGTTTTATTTATACTTTTTGAACTCTTTATTTGGTGGAACATTAAGTCTGTGACTATAAATAAAAAATATATTACCACAAAAACTGTAACACAAAGAAAGGAAGGAGAAGGGGCAGAGAGGAAACAGAATCTTATATTCTTAGAATTTTTTCTATGAATTACATAAAACCTACTTTCTTTATAATAAAAATAAGTTATTTAAAAATTTTATGGATTTGTTCAATGAACACATCTCATTTAATCTGCACAATACCATTTTGCGGTACAACTGTCTCTGCTTTATAGAATCAGTAACAGAATTAAAGGTAAATTTACACATAGTAAGATAAAGAGACAGAAATTCCTATATATTCCCAAGTCTATTTCCTGTAGGAAATCTTAAATTTGGGACTAGAAGAAAGTGATGAGGAATTTCATAGTAAAATATACACCATTTGCAATTGCTCATCAACTTCAGCAATAGTAACACATATTTTTCATAAAGTTTCTGAAGATTCCCTGTACAGGTCATGAGGGCTTTTTTCCCTAGAAGTACATAACAATATGAACAAATGCTAAGTATACCATTTGATGAATTTTGATGTATACCTATATAACTCAAATCCCTAGAAAGCTACTGAAGATCCTCAATCATATCAAATTTCTGCCATTCCTTGGGAGGAAACCACTCTTAGGATTTTGCTCACCAAAGTTTAGCTTTGCTTACTCTAGACCACATAGTCATTGTAGATAACCCTGTACACATTTCATTCACTCAGTATGTTTTGAAATACACCTATATGTTGCAGCTCTCTGTTCATTACTGAGTAGTACTGCATGGTATGGCTATGCCACAACTTAACCCATAACTTGTTAGGCGTGCAGCTGATGTTGGGGGAACAACTAATGGATGATCGGGCTGTTTCTAGTTTCCTCGATCATGAATAAAGTTGCTGTGAATATCTTGGGCAAAAACAAATTTTTAATCACTTTCATTACAGTCAAGGAATATGTGTAACCAGGAATTTTATTGACTATATGACAATAAAGATCAAACTAACTAAAACCTTAACATGGCACAATGTTTAACTCTTGTACTACCATGGGACAAAACTTCAGAAAGTCATCCTACTGTTAACATTAGCTGACCCTGCCATTCTCACCGAGGAAAAAATGCAGCAGCATTAGTATAAATTTGGGGACAAATAAACTTTGATGGTTACTAATAGTCCGTTCCTTTTTTAATACTAAAAGTCAAGTCATATAGCATGTTGATGACTTCTCAAAATAACAGAACAATATCAAAATACACACTTAAGTGCAACAATGATTTTGGCTTTCACATACCAGAAGACAAAGGTCAATTCTGAAGATGAAATACATTTAAAACAAAATAAGGAACAGATCTCTTTTTTTGTGTGTGTGGATTTCTTTTTTTTAATTTATTATTTTTTAAATTTCATTTTATGACACAGTTTCATAGGCTCTGGGATTTTCCCAACCTAAAAAAAAAAACCCTCCCCTCACATTGAATTCCTCCATATTGTTGTAGTAGTATGCTTCATATCCAGTCATGATTCCTTCATTGCAAGCATGTACCATTCAGAATGTCCGGCACCTTATTGTCCAGATAAATTCAACAGTTTCATTGGGAGACCATCCCTGGTCTGAAAGTAGAGCTGGCAGAGTATCACCCCATCCAATGAAAAGCCACTACACAACTTCAACAACAATTTACAACATCATGAAGTTAATTGACATGGTAGTAAGTGACCAATATGTTAGAAAATGCAAGTTCTTAACTACATCCTGTGACTACTTCATTGACATTTCAATTTTAGTTTATACACAACTGGCTGTTATATGCCTTAAAATGGTTATAGGGTACTATTCAACTGCCTCATTTTTATATCTAGCAGCTTATAGTATTCAAGCGTGTTTTCTACTGAACTTCGTGAATTTTAGGCTAGTCCAATCAGGCTTATAACCCTAACTAGGCATATATTAACAATTGAGGAGCAGAACAGTTTTAGGAGGGGTGTGCAGGGAAATCTTCAATACCTTAGTGAGGAGTAACTAATTTTTGTGTCCTACCTAGTAAGGTATATGTGAGTCCAAGATGACTGTTTCCTGTCTGGAACAGATTTTTTTTAAGTGACTAAGGCAGAGTCCTAAAAATATTTAAACAGAAGCAACTTTCAGTTACATTTTCAATTATCATATACCATTTGTGAAGTGTCCAAAGAAATAATCGTTCTTGTCTCATCAGCAGGACACATTAAGCCATACGAAACACTTGTTCCTCCTGCCAAAATAGAAAACAAATTTAGAATATTTTGCACTTCTAAGGCAAATTCCTAATATAAAGTATACAAATAGGTCCACTAGGACAGTAATGCCTATTTCTATTTTACAAAATGCAGTATGCAAATGCGAACATACTAAAAAGCAAATCCATCTTTACTTCATGCTGTGTACCAAAATGAAATAAATTATAGAACTGCAACACCTGTACACACACAATTAAGTCAAGCCACTAGTAATCTGTGAACTCCACACCACAAATAGAAAAGTTCTGGGCTGGCACACAATTGGTACATAGAATTAAGCTAATTCTCTGCCTGTGGTACTGGCATACTATACAGGGATAGTTTGTGTCATGGCTACTCCACTTCCAATCCAGCTCCCTATTTATGGCCTGGGAAAGCAACAGAGGAGCGCTCAAGACCTTAGGCCCCTGCACCACAAGGGCGGCCCACAAGAAGCTCCTAGCTCCTGGTTCCAGATTGGCTCACCTCTGGCTGTTGTGGCCATCTGGGGAGTGAACTAGTGGACGGAAGATTTCTCTGTCTCTCCTTCTTTGCATTAACTCTGCCTCTTAAATATTATTAATAATAATAAGTAAATAAACCTTTAAAATAAGAAAAGCTGTAAGCTAATGATTACTAAATTTCATCCCAGGGACACCATTACTTCCTTTGTAGCATAATTATGAGTTATCATTTAAAATAATATCTCATAAGCTCCGAAACTAAGAAGTCAGGATAAAAACAAACCAGAAATTTCCAGACTGAACAATACTTATAAAATAATTTTTAGGTTTATCAGTGAAAACTGATTTTATTGTAGAACAAATAAAACTTTTAAAAGTATACTGCCATTTTTTCTCTTAACATCTGTTTCCAAATGAAAATGCTTTCTTGACATCAATAAAGGATAATACAATGCTCTTAGTTCTTATCTAGATCTCTATCATTTCATTATATTAAAAATGTTTTAATTGATATTTTCAAACATTTTGCATGGAAGAAAACATATGCAACTTATCTTCCACAGAAACAGTCTGTTGATCGGTAATGTTCAGTTTAATTTAACGAGGTGAAACCATGAGCTGTCAGTTAACAGCATGATCTTGTGGTCAATTATCACTATTTATCATAGTTAACAGAAATCAGAAAAATATTTCATAGTAAATGGCAATATAATGCCTTTTTTGGGCATGATTTCCAAGAAAGTCTCAGCTGAAGAGACCATCTGGAGCTTCTGGAGTCGTAAAGGATCCCATTTCCATTCCATCAATGGCAATTCGATCAGTCATGGTAATTTCCTTTGGCTCATGAAAGATGTTAAAATACTGCAATCAATAAATGACCTCAAAAAATCAAATTTGTTTTACTGCTAAACACCGTTCAATTCCGTATCAAAAGATATTCTTGATTCGGCCACCCCTATATTGACTGATCCAGTAGACAGTGCTCTGTGCTTACTCTGTTTCTCAAAGCTTTATGCTTGGGTATATTCACATTAGATTTTAACAAACAAAATTCTTTCCATAAACATACATGTCAGAAATAATGACTAAAGTACTAACATTTTTTATTTAGTACCCAAATGGAATTCAAATGACAAAAGTTATGATCTAAAGGGTATTTCATGTAGCAAACAGTTTAAGTAGGCTTAGAACGGACTCAGAAGCAACATAACCACAACTATAAGAATGTCTGTTCTTAGCAGAATGACACAAATATTTAAAATAAGAACAGTTTAAATGAAAAGAACAAATTTATATCATATCAAAATTTAAAAACCATATTACTTACCACCAATTGGTATGATACAAAGGTTATATTTGCACGCTAGATTCACAATCTTAACTACATCATCATGACATGCTGTAAAAAAGTAAAGTTAATCACAGGGACATGAATAAAACGTGGGTAACTATAAAATAAATGTCTAACAAAGTGCTTCAATGTCTAAAACTTAATTTATTCAATTAACACTTTAAACAATCATATCAAAATAAAACTTGTCATTGTAAACCTCAGATTTATAAAAAAGCCACAAAAATAGCAAGAATTTCTTTCATCACATACACCAGACAATATTTTACCTAACAATACTGCAATTATCCAAATCAAACAATTAACAATCTACACACTTTACTCAGATTTTGTCAACTGTCCCATTAATATCCTCCTTTCTAGACCAGGAATAAATTTAGGATCACACATTACATTTAACTATCATGCCTCGCATCTTCTTTGAAAACAGACATTTCCTCAGTCTATCTTTAATTTTCAAAATCATGATACTTTTGAGCAACACTGGTCAGTTATTTCATAGACTGTTCCTCAACTAGGTTTTGTGTATTTCCTTATGAGTAAGTTTAGTATGAACATTCTAATGGTAATTTCACAAAAAACAGATTTTGTGCCTTTCTCATTGTATTGTATCAGGAAGCACATAATGCAGATATGATTCATTTCTTGCAATGTTAATTTTTATCATCCTGTTAGGAAGTGTAGATATTTCCTGTTGAAATTAGTGTCTTGTGGGAGACAGACTATATAAACATAATTTCACATTATATTTTCACTCACTAATTTTAGCACCATGAATAACCTTTACTGTTTAAATAAATATTAAAATACAAGCTTTACTGCACATGAATTCCTTTTAATTGCACATAACTGGGGGATTCATCAATACAACAGTTACATAAGTAACAAAAACTTTGGATATGATGGTCTTAAATGCAAAATAAAACACTGCTAAGACTCAAACTGACTGGCAGCAGGACATTAGTGAAGAGAACAACATGGCAAAGAGATTGTTTTAGAAAAATAGATCTTTCGCTAGATCTGACAGAATATGAGTTATCATGCAGGAAAAAAACTTAAGGTAAAAAAATCTCAGCAAGTATTTAATGTTAAGTGCTAAGATCTTAAAAGACCTCAGTCTAGCATGACTACTGGCCTTACAGGTGAGAACAGTAGGTTCCACTTCAGTCTCTCTTCTCTGTCCTTGAACAAGCTGTGCTGGGACTTCCGTGATAAGCAGCTCTCACAAGTCAATGGCGACCCACAGCCTACCTGCCAGTCACACACGGTGAATGTGATCTGAGGCACACCTGTCAGCTGTGCATGTTGTATATGACCTGTGACTCCAGAAAGATCGATGTGATTCTAGCCAATCACAGTGTCATTACTGGGTGGGAGGACTGTCAGAAGGTGCCCATCTGCCTTCCCCTTTCTTAGTCTATATAAATTTGTGCTTGTTTGATAATAAACAGACATGTTCCCCCAGACTGTCTCAGGTGGTCTGGGCTGCTGCTGAACACCATCGCCTCACCCTCTCAGCGGTTTTAGGGGCCTACTGCTCAGAAAACCCCAGACAGGTTTGCTTAAAGCTACTAACATGTAATTTTTGTCATTCCAATTTTTTTTAAAAGGTTTATGTATTTTTACTGGAAAATCAGATTGACAGAAAGGAGAGACAGAGAGAAAGATCTTCTGCCAACTGGCTCACTCCCAAAGTGACTGCAACAGCCAGAGATGAGCCAATCTGAAGCCAGAAGCCAGGAGTGTCTTCCAAGTCTTCCAAATGGGTGCAAGGTCCCAAGGTTCTGGGTCATCTTCTATTGCTTTCCCAGACCACAAGCAAGGAATTGGAAGGAAAGTGGAATATCTGGGATACGAACCAGTGCACACATGGGATCCCAGCTTATGCAAGGTGATTAAGCCAGTAGGCGATCACACCAGGCCCTGTCATTCCAATTTTTAATAAAATCTCATTTTTAAGCTTTCAGATTAAGCTTATAAAGCTTACTATTTGTCTTGGCCCTGCATGATGGCCTAGCAGCTAAAGTCCTCACCTTACACACACTGGGATCCCATTTGGGCACCAGTTTGTGTCCTGGCAGCCGTTTCCTGTACAGCTCCCTGACTGTAGCCTGGGAAAGCAGTCGAGGACGGCCCAAAGCCTTGGGACCCTGAACATGGGTGGGAGACCCAAAAGAAGCTCCTGGTTCCTGACTTCGAATTGGTGCAGTTTCAGCCATTGCAGCTGCTTAGGGAGTAAAACAACGGATAGAAGATCTTCCTCTCTATCTCTCCTGCTCTCTGTATATCTGAATTTCCAATAAAATGAAATAAATCTTAAAAAAAAACTATTTGTGGTAAAAATTTTTACTAAATGTAATACTAATTAAGTAAAGATCAATAAAACACATTAATATGTCTGTTCAAAAACTTTAGAAAGGCAAAACTTCCTTTAAAGTATTAACTAACAAAGTCACTCAATCAAAATCCTTCCCTGACCTTATTATCTAAAACAGCACACGCCCATCTCACCATCTACTCTTTCTCATTCTACCCTCTTAGAAGAGAACCAACCTAATGGGAAGTACTTTACCAAGTAAGAAAACTTGTTCAATAGCTGACTGACTCTGTTTCCTAATCTGCGCAGTATTTCTTAAAGCAAGGCATTTTTTTTCCCAATATGATATTCTCTTAGTTTTTAAATAGTCAAACACATGGGGAGAAAAGTATTTAAAAAGCACACTTGAAGGAAATTCTCAAGATACAGCTCAGGTGGGGGCCAGCACTGTGGCAGAAAGGGTAAAGCCACTGCCTGCATTGCTGGTATCCTATGTGGATGCTTGTTCTTGTCCCCACTGCTCCATTTTCAATCCAGCTCCCAGCTAGCTGTCTGGCTAAAGCAGCAGAAAATGGCCCTTGCATGCAAGCAGAGACCTAGATGAAGGTCTTGTTCTGGGCTTCATCCTGGCCTTGCTGCAGCAGCTATCTGAAGAAGAACCAACAGTCTCTCTCCCTCTTCTCCATTTCTGTTAACTCTGCCCTTCAATACATATAATTCTTTTTAAAAAGAGGGGAGTGGTGCTTTGGCATATCAGGTAAAGCTGCCACCTGCAGCACAAGCATCCCAGTTCAAGTCCTGGTTGTTCCATTTCCAATCCAGCTTCCTGCTAATGTGCCTGTGAAAGCCATGGAAGATGGTCCAAGTGCTTAAGTCCCTGCACCCACGTGGGAGACCCGGAAAAAGTTTCTGGCTCCTGCCGTGGACCAACCCACCTCTGGCTGTTGTGGCCATCTGTGGAGTAAACTAGCAGATGGAAGATCTGTGTCTCTCCCTTTATCTCTATAACACTGCCTTTCAGATACACAAATTTTTGGGGAAAAAAATACCCAAATCAAACCCAAATAATCTCTCAAAATTCAATTCATTTCAAAGGCATGTAAATTTTACATCTTTTCAGCATACTAGCTGTTGTCAACAAACTATTATTAAGTAGTGGTTATCAGCTATTTTAATTATTTCCAAACATATGACTATATCAATGATTGCCAATGATTTCATTAAGCTTCTAAAACATTACCAAGAAATTCATTTTTCTACTAACCTCTCAATATAATTATTTACCTTTAAAATAAAGACTTCATCATTAACAATAAAATCAGTCTTTAAAGCCTAACAAACACTTCAATATGATCAGATCAAAAATACTTCCAGGGCAAGCATGTGACCCAGCAGTAACTGCACTTAAGAAGCTTGAATCCCTTATTGGAACAACTGGGCTTGGGCTGTAGCTCTGCTTCTCATTCCAGCTTCCTGATAAAATTTTGAGAGCCTGTAGATTATGGTTCAAGTAGTTGGGACACCCATGTGGGAAGGCCTAGATTGAATTCCTAGCTCTCAGCCTCCTCATGAGAGTGAATTACTAGATAGGAGTGGCTGGTTTTCTGCCTTTCTTTCTCCCTAGCTCTCTGATATCTCCCTCAAAAATAAATAAATGTTTTGAAAAATGAAAAAATAAAGGACTTCATGATTTTTGGTAAACTCTCTTAAAATATAGCCTTTTGTACTCTTCACAATTCATATGTTAAGAAATACCTATCTCTACCACTGAATTTACTTAAGATTTAGCAATACTGAATTGATACAAAAAAGAAAACAAACTTACTTGGCCATAAAACTATATCAGGAATTCGCTGAAACATTCCTTCCCTGAGCAAAAATATCTCATGAAGACAATGACCTGTTTTGTGATTTAAAAGAGATAAATTTAAAAACACCTTAAATTACAGAAAATTTATGTAGCTAGATAAATAAATAGTATTAATATAAAGTAAGTTACCATGAGCTCTAAATACCCGATCTTCTGCTTCTTGTGAATATGAAATATTAGTTTCTTTAAGTTCACGAAGAAAGTCTTCATTTACAATAGAAGGAGGTGTATCACTAGGATTTAAAGATGCCTAAAAAAGAGAATTAAAATCTTCAACTTAGTTCTAGAAAACAAATTTTGAATACATCTGTTAGGAAGAATGACTTTAATATACATATATTTTTACATCTCAAGATAAAAGCATAGAAGAGTGGCAAGTAATACCAAGTAATTATCTTTCTCTGCCTTGCAAATAAAATAGAAAAGGGATCAACAGTAGCTAAAAGTAACACATCAAAACCTGATAAAATTTCTGAATATGGCATGTGGATTTATCAGTATCAAAGAAAAGTAATTCTTCCGAATGAGCAGCCATGGCTCTCTGTGCTACCCCAACACCCTGGGTCTTAACAACGGTCACAAAGTAACCAAGAACGCAGGAAAGTCCAAATACCACCACGACTGCGGGAGCCTGAGTAGCCTGAGTTCGTGTCATGTGGGATATGACCTGAGAGGTGTGCGGCCTTCGCCCTCTAGGTGCACCACCGTGCCATGAAGCTCCTCAAGGTCTCCAAGGATGAGCAGTGCTCAAGTTCATCAAGAAGGTACACACACTCATCTTGGTCAAGAGGAAGTGGGAGGAGCTGAGCAGCATGCTGGCCACCAGGAGGCTGGCTGCTGCCAAGGACTGAGCGACCCTTCTGTCCCCCGTCCTCGCCTTTGCAATAAATCTCTCTGGGCCCACCAGAAAAAAAAAGGAAGAAAGAAAAAGGGGGAGAGGGAAAGAGAGAGAAAAAAAATTAATTACAAATAATCAAGAGAACTAAGAAACTTCAGATAACAAGAGACCTGTAAGAAAAGTAAAAGGCATAGTATGGAAAGAATAAGGGAATTAGTTGTTAATTTACCAACTAGAATAAAACAATGTGGCTGTATAAGTAAATCTAACAAGCACTCACTGAATACCTACACAACTTAATAACAAGTTGAATCAAATAGAGAATACACCCCAAGACATAGTCCCTGTAGTTACAGACTTTACACCCAAAGAGACATGCAAAACACCATGCTGATGCAAATAATACAAAAATTTTAAATGGATTTTAAAATGCTACAGATTTCATTAGTTTCACATATAAAGTTTTCGAATCCTACTTTCAGAAGAGCAAAACCACATAAACTAAAATTCTGTATCACCTATTAAAATGTTCAGTAAACATTCTAACATTAAATATCACCTTTTATTTTAAATTATTCTGCATTAATGATTGATTACTGTAAGTTTACTAGTCTAAAAGTAACAGCAACTTATTTTGATGTTTTATTTTATTTTTTTATTTATATTTTGTTACAAACTGCTTTCCAAAGAATTAACACTTTCACTACACTACTCCTCTGTAAGACACAGAACAAGAAGTTACTCAAATAAAAATAACCAAAGCTCAGAGAGGATAAAAAAACTTGCTGGATAAATTCTAAAATTAGAATCTAAAATTGTGACCCTAAAAAATCGACCCTAAAACCATAACAAGACCAATAAAACTAATAAGCCTCATGATTCAAGAAAAAGAAAAAAAAAAAAACTACACTAAAGCAAATATAGTAAATTATTAAGATTTGGAGATAGAAGAAACACACTTAAGCACTAAGTTATCATTCTTATTTGCTTACTTTAGAGGTAGTTTTATGCTCCAGACTTACTCCAAGGGTGTTTTGGATCCATTCTTTAAAAGTTGGTAAAACCATGCCACTAAGAGGATACCTAAGGCACAAAGAAGGTAAAAGATTAGAGCAAAGTATTTTCATTTCCATGTAAAGGTATAGTTCTTCTTCAGGTAATGGCTAAGCAGCTCCTACTAAACCAACTCTCCCACATATAAATATAACTGAACTCTACACAAAACCGAACTGAAACAAATGAAACCCAACTATGGCAATGCAGAATCGAGGAGCCAAAATCAGGCAAAAGCAACAACAACAAACAAACAAAAATAACGACAAAAAACAACGGAACAGGGTGTGTTATACTTAGAGAATACTCAGATGATATTTAGTTTTTCTCTATTTTAGTTTTTATTAATTTATTCTATTTACATGAAAAGCAGAGAAGGAGAGAAACAAAGGGAGAGAATGAAGAGAAGAAGAGAGAAAGAGACTCCAATCTGTTGATTCATTCCTCAAACACCCAGAATAGCTGCAGATGAGCCAGATAAAGCCAAAAGCGAGGAACTCAACTCAGGTCTCATTTGTGTGGCCGGGACCTGATCACCTGAGTCAACATTTGCTGTCTCCCAGAGTGAAGACAAGCAGGAAGCTGGAATGGGATAATGGAGTCTAGACTCAAAGAGATTGAAGCATTCCAGCAGCAGCTTAACCACTGCACCAAATGCCACACTTTGCTTTGCTTGTTCCAACAGGTTCCAACCTGAGGAAAAGCCTAGCTGGTGCAGCAAAGAGTAATAAAAAATACCAAAAACTTACAGCTTCCAGGCTTGAGGACCACAGGATAGTGTTTGAAATGAACACAGCATTTGAAAAGCACACAAAGAAACCACCTAAGAGAAGGATCTATACAACAGCTCAGTCCAGACGTCTGGTTGATCCTGAAGTACACAGGTGCGGAGTATGTAGTGAAGTCTTTCAAACAGCTTGTAGAAACTAAAAACGCTGAACACAGAACTCAACTGCTCACCCACCACCACAGAGCAACAGAAATCAGAGTTTAAGATCACCCAAGCCGATTGCTTGATTTTAAAAAGCACAACAAAAGCACTACCAACAAAAACTTCTTTAGAATATAACACCATCCATAGTTTCAATTACATACATTAACAATGTCCAAGATATACTCCAAAATTACTAGACAAAAACAAATAAAAACATAACCCTAAATGAAGAGAAAGGGTAGCTACTGATTGACCCCTAGATAATCCAAGATACTGGAAATAATTTTAAAGCAGCTTTTACAATTATCTAAGGATGAAGGGGAAAAAAAATACGCTCCCCATGAATAACAAAAAGGATTACTGGAGAAATAGAAACTAAAAAAGAAAAAAAAAATAGAAATTCTATACTTTAAACTTAGGCATTCTGTTGGTATCTCGTTACAATTCCCGGGATCCATGTCCCTTCCAGCTTCCTGCCTGTGGCCCAGGAAAGCAGTCGAGGACGGCCCAAAGCTTTGGGATCCTGCACCCACATGGGAGACCCGGAAGAGGCTCCTGGCTTCGGATTGGCATAGCATCGGCCATTGCGCTCACTTAGGGAGTGAATCATCGGACGGAAGATCTTCCTCTCTGTCTCTCCTTTCTGTATATCCGCCTTTCCAATAAAAAAATAATAAAAATAAATCTTAAAAAAAAAAAGAAAGAAAGAAATCAACTTCCGGAAGAAAAAAGAAATTAACAACACCAAGAAGTTAAACAACATGCTATTAAATGTCCAACGTGTAGCTGAAGAAGTGAAAATCAAGAACCTTCTTGAAGAAAATGATGCCATTGCATGATCTACAAGTCACTGAATGATTTAATCAGAAGAAAGTGTTTTGAAGAGATGAAACCAACAGAAAACAACAAAACCCATGTGATATAGTTTCCACTGATCTTTGTTGGAGTGTGTCTCCTCCCCACAATAAACAGATGGGTTTTGTTTTTTAATCCAGTCTACTAATCTATGATGTTTGATTGAGCTTAAGCAATTTACATTCAGAGTTAAATATACATAGGTGGTACTTTGGTCCTGTCATTTTAGGAATGGGTTGTTCATTGATTTAGTCTTCTGTTGTCATTTTACTGTGATGTTCTTCCCGTTTGCCTTTGTTTTTGGTAGGTGCTATTCCTCTTCTCTGTCAAGAGAACATCTTGAAGTATCATTTGTAGAGCAGGTTTGGAAGAGGCAAATTCTTTTAGCTTTTCTTTACTATGGATTTTGTTTTGTGGCTCTTCATTTAAGGGAAGGTAAAGTAGTTGTGTAATGGAGACTGTCATATCTAGTAACATGTCATTTAATATCATGACATTGTAAATTTCTATTTTTCTTTCTATTGTTGATTCTGTATCATGACTTTTCATTTAAGGAATGTACAGTAGTTATGTAATGGAGACTAACAACCAGATGTGAGGATGCAGTGTGGTCGGCATCTCTGTTTCCATTAAAGACAAAGATGGACTTACAGTGAAACTGTTTATATTATATTTTGACAATAGGATTCTGGACTCCCTGCCATTGTCCATGCCCTCAATGATGAACATATGACTGAGTATGAAGAACTATATGTTAGTAATGATATAAAGGAACTAGGGGGGGGGAGGGAATTGGGGAGGGGATAGGGGAATATGGAACTGTATCGTAAAATGATAGCAATAATAATAAAATGTGAAAAAAAAATAAAGCAACCTTGTATGCCAGGGAAAAATCCCACTTGATCCAAATAAATAATCTTTCCGATGCATTAAAAGAAAGAAAGAAAGAAAGAAAGAAAGAAAGAAAGAAAGAAAGAAAGAAAGAAAGAAAGAAAGAAAGAAAGGAAGAAAGGAAGAAAGAAATACGAGGTTACTTTCAACAAATCAATGGCATGAGAATGAGATGGAGGAATGGCTGCAGACCTGATTTGGATCCTGAGTTAAATAAACAACCCATAAATGGCACTGGAAAGATAACTGAAGAGAAGATAAATATGGGTTGGATAATTAGGTACTATATAATTTTTTCCTATTTTGGAAGTATAATAGTGATAACAGATAATAAGTTCTGTTAGGTCCTTTTAAAAAAAAATTGTGTATTTATTTTACTTGAAAAGCAAAGACAGAAATGTAAATAGGGACCTCCCACCCACTGGTTCACTCCCTAAACGTACACAGCAGCCAGAGGTGAGTCAGGCAAAAGCTGAGAACCTGGAACTTAATCCAGGTCTCCAATGAGAGTGCTAGAAACCCACCCCTTTGGGCTACCTCCCCAAGTACACAACAGCAGGAAGCTGGAACCAGGAAGAGAGACAGGATTTAACTTCAGGCACCCTGTTAAGGGATACAGGTGCATATAAAGATACCTAAACTCTTCACCAAATGCCCTTCACAGCTCCTTATTTTTAAGAGATACATACATAAATATTGAAAGGTGATACGATGACATCACAATTCAAAATATTACAGAAAAGAAAGCAATTGTGACAAGTGTTCATAATTTTTATATTGCAGGCAGGATCAATGTGACGTCCTTTATTTTTAGGCATGCTTTAAATTTTTCATATAACCTAAAGTGAAAAGGAACAAATCAAGATTACCTTTTCCCAGTCAATTCAGCTTGGCCCTTCTTATTGAAGAAGAACTTGGAATCATTGTATCCCCATCCATTCCATTTCATGACTTCTTGCCTAACAAGAAGGGAAAAAAAGATACTAATGAGACTTTTGCTAAAGTTCTCAAAACTGAACAATATATTACTCTTAATCCTTAAAGTCATTTAAAAGACATATTTTAAAAATGTTTTCAAAAGCTAAAAAAAGTAATAAAAGTAGACTCTGTTCCCCCTAATATATTTGCTTACATTAGTATATACTAAAACTTCTATATATTAGTATCTTTAAGTATATGAAGAATCTTTCTGGTGCACAGTGACTGCTTCACAGAGAACTATAACCAATAAATCTAATGGATTCACAGGAAAAAAGAGTGAAAAAAAATAAGACATGCCTAGATTATTTTTCATTTTTTAACATCGATGAGTCTATATTGTAGGTTGGGCTAAAAAATTTTTGCAAACAGAACCAAGAATGCATTTACTACGAAGGAAAAACTGGTTTACAAGATTTAGTCATTTACAGTAGTCTTTTAATAAAGTACAGGTGAAAGCCTCAGAGTTCACAAATATTCTAAATTCTTCCACTTCCACATGGCTACCAATTTCTACCTTAACCTATACAGCATAACAGTTCATCAGTTTTTAGCATTAAAAAAATTCGATTTGTAATTGCCAAAATACCACTATTTTAAAATAATTTCATTAAAATCAATGGCTCACTCATTCAATTTTGTGTATCACATATGAAGAGTTGAGCCTATGTATAATACAATAAGCCAAAGTACTAAAACATTGTGTCAATTTTTATCACAAGATTTATAAAAAAAAAAATGTATTATGCATTTATTTAAGATAGCAAGAGGCAGAGAGTTCCTTTTTGCACACTCCCTCAGTGTCCACAATGGCTAGAATGGGACATAGTTAGAGCAATCGAGGTTTCTCACAAAAGTGGCAACAACTCAACTACTCGGGTCATCTCTGATGCTTCCCAAGTCTGCACTGTCGGGAAGCTGGAGACAAGAGACACAGCTGATTAAAGTCAGGAACTTAATGTGGGACATAGGTATCTTAACTGCTAGGCTAAACTGTAGTCAACAATTTCATGTGGTTCTCAAATGTGATCTTGGCTACTAAATAAACTGGAGATGAGCTTCTTACTACAAACTCAAAATTACAATTTATGATAAAAAATAATAATAACTTGTTGAAAACTTCTCTACCTGGAAAGTTATTTGTTACAATAAAACTTTAAGAAAAATCAAGATACACTCAGAAAATGTTTAATTGTCCTTGATTCTCAAAGAAAGAGAAAATGGTACATGATTAGCAAGTTTTTCATTACAATCATAATTCTTACCCTAATTCAAAGGCTTTCCAAACAAGTGGAACATGAAATGAACATAAAACAAAAAGAGTTGCATACAAGTAATTATAGCTGTATTGAAATCTCCATCTTCACAAAATTGAAACTAACAAGGCTCTGTTTATCTTTTATTATTATTATTAAATTTATTTACTTGAAAGGCAGAATGCCAGAGCAAAAGGAGAGTAAGAAAGAAACAGAGAGAGAGAAGAAAGCAAGAAGGGTAGAAAGATTTCCATGGGCTATTGCACTTCCAAATGCTAGAGAAACATCTAGCTGAAGCCAGGACCTCCACCTGAGTCTCCCATGCAGTGGCAGGACTCCAACTACTTGCTGCCCCCTCAGGCGGCATTGGCAGAAATTGGATCAGAAACACAGTCACTGGCACTTTGATACACGATGCAGGTATCCCAAGCAACAACTTAACCTACTGCAACACAAGGCACACTCCACATGATTCTGCTTAAAATTACAGCTTGCTACCAACAAAAACTATATCTCTAGTTAAAAAAAAAAAAACACCTTCAAAATATCTCAAAAGCATTCATACATAGGCTACTTTTTGTAGATGAATAAGTTTCCAACTAAACACAATATTTATCTCTAATCTCACAACATCCCTACTTCACTATAGAGGGAAGTTCTGGAACAGAAATTTTGCAAAAATCTCAACTGGAAAGCCTTATGATTGTGTAATGATTGATATACTCATTTCCTTAAGGCTATACTTTCTAAAACCAAGTTAATTTGTCCTTCATTTTACTTTTTTCATGCTTAAATTCTCTTCACTTCATAAATTTTAATTCACATAATATTTTATATTTCATTAATAATTTCATTGGAAGGTTAATGTGTAACTTAATATACACATAAATTTGTACCTGTGAATGAATTTTATTAGTGAATATAAACATTCTCATGAATTCTGTACTCCACAAAATAATAATCTTTACACAAAATAAATTCAAAAAGGCCAACATAATCATTTTGCCCTTATACTACAACCAGTAGGTAGTGGGAAATCATTTCAGTACAGATACTAAGTTTTCTACTCTTATAAAGTTTACCAATAATAACAATTTTCCCTAAATTCAATTCCTGAACTTAAAAAATGAAAATTATCCCCAGATGGCCCCAAAGAAAAAAGCTAAAGCTGGTTATGCAGGCTCACTCTTAGCACAAGCAAATGAATCAAAGTAAACAGGAAAGATTTGCTGTTACACACACACTAATAATGAAGAGATTTATATGCCATCTTGGGTCTTAAATTTGCAAGTAGAATAATATCCTAGAGAACTACCAAGCTTCCAAGTGTAAGCTAACGTACCTTCTCTCTTGCAATACTAGTTAGAAAAATCTTATGATATGAGCTTATCTTATTTAAATCAAACTTTAGTGTCTTCTCAGAAGTTGAAATGTAGGCATTTGGGATACATTTGGTGATCAGTATTGTCACTTAAACAGTATAAAAATTAAAATATCAGTTACCCATAAGCCAATCTTCAGACAGCTTCAAGTACTAACGTGTTAAAGTAAGCAAATTTTGTCATCTTTAGTTTTAAACTTTTACACATAGGTATTCTCTCAAATTGCTAATATGTACTAAAACAGTTAAGAACTATGTGATTAAAATTTTGAATGACATATTACAAAAATAATTGTACAAAAGGTACACTGAAGGGCGTCACAGCATTAACATTTTAAAATCACAGTAAAGCTTAGAAACCACCCAGATCAACTGCTCATTTTTCAGACAAATAAACTGCATTCAAATTTAGCCAAACCCACAGAGTAAAAAAATGTTGCAGTTTCAGAAAGCTAATTCTTGGTCTCATCAATCTTCCTTTTTAGAGAGGCAATATTCTGAAACCCACAATAATCTGAAATAATCTGAAGCCCATGAAAATAGTTATGCTCTCAAATACCCAAAATTATGTAAAGGAACCCCTCTTTTATAGCACATCAATATTATACTGAGCATTATGTCATCTTTTTTTTTTTTTTGTAATCGTTCTTTTAAACTTGACCAGAAGAAAAAGTTCAAAATCAAGGTAAATCAAATGCCTTAACACCTTCTACGGGGTAGTGAATCCCACCACTCGGTGTGATTCCAGATCACTGCAAGTACTGAAATGAAGCATGATCAAAGAATCACCAACCTTCCATAAAAGTCAGAAAAATGGATTCAATTATCAACTAGTACCGACGTCAATCAGCCAATACAATCTCTTAGGTATTCCCACTCTTGGTGCTAACAAAACAAAAGCCCTCCTCCTCCCTTCACCACAAAAAAATATTTTAAAAATATTTCTGCATAAAAAAGTGAATGTTTTATGAATTTAACATATGCCCACAATATCAAATGGTACAAAAGCACTGCTAAGTGGTTTAGCAAAAGAAAATATAAATTTGTAAAATAACATCACATATACACAAGATGGCAGTATTCTCCTGATATATACTAAGTACATACTCAGTATTTTGCAATTCCCAAGATTACTACTGGCGTAATCTCAAGCTAAAATATTCACTTAGCTTTACTATTAAAAAGACCACAAAACTTTCATTTATTCATTAAGTAAAATTTTTCACATTCCTCTAGTCACACATAAATTAATCAGATTACTATTTCTTTACTAGTAGAAAGCATATATATGCCTGGTTTCTACACTTACTATTTCTAATTATGATATTTTTCACTAGAAAATAAGGAATAGAAGAAACTATTTAGCCTACTTTCATTCTGGATTAGCAAAAGAAGTTCAGCTAGCTTAAAAAAAAAAAGTTGTTAAGTATGAAACCTGTGTTCCAGTGCTATATTTTCAGCTAATCAACTAGAGTATCAGTTAAATTGAAATAAATTACACATGCAGAACAACACACACAAATTTAAAAAGAAATTCATAGGTCCAGCGATGTAACACAGAAGTAAAACCACCACTCGGGAGCCATCCTTTCATGTCCTGACCATTTCACTTCTAATTCAACTCCCTGATGAAGACAAAGTCTGAGAAAGCAGAGCAAGATGTCCCCGATACTTAGGTCTCTACCACCCAAGTGTGAATCTGCGATGAAGCTCCTGGATCCTGGATTCTGACCCAAAAAGGTCTATTAGTTAGAAATCAAGAGTTACACAGAAAGAGAGAGACAGAGTTCTTTTCACCTGCTGGCCACAATGCTAGGAGCTTCATCTATGTCTCCCACCTGAATACAGGGGGCCCAAATACTTAGGGCCATCCTTTGCTGCCTTCCCAGGCACATTATTAGGGAGCTGAACTGGAAGTGGGGCAGCTGGAACTTGAACCAGCGCTCATATGGGATGCTAGCATCAACAGGAGCAGCTTAACTTGATACACCATGACGCCAATGCCACAATATAAATCTTTTTTTTTAATCCATGATTCATTACCAAAAGTAATATATAGATTCAATATGATCCCAATAAAAATCCCAACACCATTCTCCCCAGAAATAGAAAAGATGATACAAAAATTTATCTGGAAACACAAAAGACCACAAATAGCCAATGCTATCCTGAAGAACAAAAATAAGGCTAGGGGGCCCGGTGCAATGGCTCAGCAGCTAAATCCTCATCTTGCACACACTAGGATCCCATATAAATGCCAGTTTATGTCCCGGCTCCTCCACTTCCATCCAGCTCCCTGCTTGTGGATGGAAAACAGCAGAGGACAGCCCAGAGTCTTGGGACC